AACGCTTCACTATGACCACCTTTGAATTCCTTTACTCAATTGCTTTGCCGAAGAGGAAGTCATCGCTCTATTAAGGGCAGGCGATTTGGTGCGTGTGCACAGCAGCGACCGAGCCCCACGCAAAAAGACAATGTGGGTACCAGACCTTTCCAGCTTCTTAACCTAACGCCAAACACAAACCCAACCCCACGAAAACAATTAAAGACAACGATCTGTAGAGAGGGCGATTTGAAAAAAAATGCCACTTGACAAATGAAAATCACTTAGTGACATCAAAAGGAGTTCATTTGGGTGCTTAAACTAACCTCCTCGACTTTTTGGCTAATCCGGAAATGGGAGACGGCTGAGCACAACAGTCCATATGTTTAGCAGGGTGTTCCTTTTAATAACAATGATTTCACGACTTCGCAAATTGTGACTTGTGAGTGGACTCTAATGAAAGGATAGTCTTACTGGTAGTCAAAAATAGCATCTAATTACTGGTTAAGTGTTTGCATTTATGAACAGGATCATCCCATTACGCCCCACAAACCTCTAAACGACCATAGTAGAAGTTAGTCTGGAGAAAAAATGCCGCTACGTGTGTCTTTCACGTAGCACCACTAAAACTATCTTCATGGAACCAGGCATAGCTAACGCTCCAACCGTAGAAACAGCCTAATTGTTAAAATATCTAATTATTTGATTGCGTATACCATTTATGAAAATCTATTGGTATATTTGGGCTCTATTTGCAATTTTTCCCGAGGACTACTTATGTGGCCTTTCGCCACCATTTCGTCGCCAGAGTGGTTAATCAATGTCTCACTTACGTAAATCATTCGAGTCTTTGTTTACATGAAAAGACAATGTCCCGGTGGAAGGCTCCTATTTAAAACCACGGTATTTAATAAACAAAATTACTGCCTCTTTAATTTGTGCAGAAATTTCGATTCGATTAACTAACGATGGTTATAAAGCACTTCACCGATGTAACATTCAAGAGGGTCAAAATTTGTGCGTCATCCTACAAGCCAGATGAATTCAAAACACCCTATAACGTTCTGCTTATTTCCTCCATTTCATTTAACTGCATTTTCTTCAAAATTTTTATTGGCTTGACATGGACTTAAAAAATCGATTCTCTCCAGAAAGTTAAGCTTTTTCTACCTTATCATTTTGTCCTACCAATTTAAAGTAGCCCAAAATACCCCAAAGGGGCCATCCACCAAATTGTATAAGCATGGGACGTTAAAAGAAACTAAAAATGTTACTTCAACATGCTTTGGTCACCTGCGGCCACACAATCGAGCCCGAATAGGAGGTATCCGCAAATTGTTTTACTGGTTATGCCTTAAATTGCCAGATACTGTCTGTCTAATCATTTCATTAAATCTTTCAGTTTTATGCTCTGGCTTGATTTCGTTAGGTTTTCGATATAGAAAATATCAACTAAGTAACTTTATGGAATTTCTAGCTATATTATGAAATTCAAACCAACTCCAAATTATGAACTGGACTCTAGCCACAAAACCAGTTAAGATGGCATCATTATGTCTCGAATCTGGACCGCAGGCCGCGTGGGTCTTTGATTTACGCTGAAGACGTCCATTCAGTTTGTCTGAGGTTGTCTTGGGACTTACATAATTTTGTCAGCATGCATGTGCCAGAAACTATGAAAGTTGAAAACCAGTTCTGATGAGAAACCTACCACCTCGACCCTTTTATATTGATGCTAACCAGTTCCTAGTGAATAAAAAGTATGTGAGACTAATCGTGATTCTCCAATTTGGATTATGACTAATCGTCAAAACCAGGCCCAGACATCCACAGACATGGTTCCCGCTCTTTTCCCTAGTAACCCCACTGCTGTTTTCCAAATTGACTCAATTAGAATTCATCACGGAATTTTTTAAGGAACTGCACTTCTAAATATTTCCCCCGTTAAATGGTTTCTTCATGGAGCGTGAAACCTCAGTAGCAGCGAGAAAGGCTAATGGCAATGCCCTGTCCCTGTTTCAGAAGAAGGCCAACTTCCACATAAACTCGGCAACCCACGACTGACCAAATATCGTGGAAATTTGTCAGACTGGCAACTTGTTGTTACAGTCGCTTGTCTAGCAAAATAACGCCGAGTGCGGTTATTATGCCGGAATTTCTTCTTTCTGGCGGTTGCTTTTTCCTCTCCGTGTGTCAGCACTTCGCATCAGGTTACCCGGCTAAGAGGAAGATAAATTGCTTCGCAGGACAGGACAAAGTAGGCTTGACGAGCCACAAGGAATACATATCAGGTTGGTTCTGTGTTTACCAAGACGGTCGTGCTGTCATTGCCAAAACTTATTTTGACGTTGCCGGTATTAGCATACGATCTAGGGGAAATCGTTTGACATGTAAAACTTCCGACTTTTGGGTTCACCACCACAGCCGCCACCGCGATATATTTGAAGGAGGTGTAGATTTATGGTAGGGCACATCGCCGAGGGATGCCACACTCATTTGCTCAATCACCTTGTGCTATCCCTCCACAGCCTGGTTCAAAGCATAAACAAACTGCCGCAGTTTCAATAGCCCAGTTTCGTTTGACTCTGAGAAGTTAGTGATAAAATTTCAAGCCACAGTTGGAAGCTCTAAACTGCCACTTTAAATCGAGGTCGTGAAGTGACAAATGATCACATTTTTATTTGGTGCATAAAAGACATGTATTAACAGCTATAACGAATTCCTTTTCACTACTTTGATACGCAACAGGAAATAAGGGCAACGAATTTAGTGTTTTAGATATTGACCAACCAACGCATGTTCAAAGATTATTTGCGTTTGGTCATCAACATTTTGCACGGCGTTTCCGTTTGGTTAGGTTTTTTTCGAGTCATGACATCATGAAGTGGGTCAAAATTGCTGCGTAAACAGACACGAAGTGTAATGCTTTCGTTTCATTAACTTGCATTTTAGCATGCCTAGATATAATATTTCGTTTCGCTTTAACCCGTGAGGTTATTATACCAACAGGAAACACTGTGAAAAAAATCAAACCAACACCCCACGAACAATACTAAAATATTTTCAAATAAACTCCAACCTACGTATCTAACTAAATAGCAGTTAAAAGGAGGCAGCAGAAACAATATGTAGTGGCGGTGCCAGAAATTTGGAAAAACATCAGATTTGCGTTGGCAAATTGATGAAGACGTGTGGCATAGATAAACGTGGATTACTGAAGTAATTCTATGCCAAATTCCGAATGTAAATGATGTTGTCATACAAGTCAAACAAATATATCTTAAAATACACAAAATGGAGTCCGGAACCGGGCAGTCAGCTAGGTTGTAAACCCCGATCTTTGATTAAGACAGAAGAACAAAATACAACCACGTCACTACAGAGAGGTAGCTGAAATCGTTACAGAGCCATACCGTCAGACCTCGATATCCTTTATAAGTCTTTTCCAAACTCCCAGCACCTTATATGCACAAACTCTTGAAAGTTTCCAACCAGAAGAAACTACCGATAAGGGTGACCACGCTACAGCACATTCAATCTTGGACACTTAAACCTCACGACAACCTGCGCATAGTCGCATCTATGGAAGCCGATGTGCTGGCTCTCTATCGCCGATTGTCCGCTGCTATCGAGGTTTGTCATGCTCCGCGTTCTAATCGTTTGACTTAAATTTTCCTTCATTTGGATAAACAAAATGAAGTGAACTAATATTGTTCTTCATTTTCTCCTAAGAAAAGACTTTAGTTGAGATATCCGTAGCGAAGGTCAGTACCCACTAGATGATGCGACAGCATGACGACAATGCGCAGTCCATTTACATTCTGAAGAACACAAACATGCTACTTTTGTCTGGCACATGGTAGACAATGAACTAAAAAATGAAAAAAAGCAGGCGTCTATTAAAGACCTAGAACGAAATGAATGAGAGGGAAACGGGGCGCAGGTCCATGTCCAGTGAGAACGCGCGTCAAAGGACTATGTGGAGTTGACAGGTGGCAAGTCATTTTGCCATGGCTCTGTCTGCGGCTGACCCATCCACGCCGGAAATCGTTTTCAAAGTGTTTGAGCGAGATGGGTTTTGAAGCACAACCAGAAGCGTTTGTAAATCTGGGGAAATTACTGGAAGTAGACGTGAATACTAGTCTGACTAATGATGGTGGCGATGATTGTTTTGTAGGATCCTGATTGAGCAGTTGTAGAAAGTAATTTGCAAATACTTTCAAGTTTAGATGGCGCTGGATGCAATGAAACGTTCGGCAAAGGAATGAAGCATGAGTCTTCATACATGAATACAGAATGCTGGCTAGTGGGTGTGCCTGACACTGCTCGCCAAAGCGAAACAACTAGGTCATCGCAACGCACAAACCAGTGACATGTACTGTAAATGCCTAAAAGCATCTGCAGATAATGCTTTTCTAGCCCATGAATTCAAAATAATTCCAAGTACGAATATAAAACAACTCACATGAGATAGGCTTATTAGTGTTGCATGTTTCGTTGATCCTATTAACAACGACCACATGGGAGGTAAGTTGAGTGAACTCAAGCACTAACCACATCTCCGCCACATCGCGCCCACCAGGTGGATCTAACTGACTAGAAATGTCTTGATTCCAGTTGTATGCTTCTTATTGCAGCCAAACTTGGGCAAAAAATAAAAAAAAGTGGTCAAGTAGGTGCAGCGGCCCGCGCGTCCCCTCAATTGGGTTCCCGCTTGCAAAGTAGCACTGTTTGCCATTCCGACGGGGGTGGCGACGCACCTCATGACCAAGACGCTTATAACCTCACCGGGCGAAAAAGCTTTCCAATCGCCACAGGCAGCAGCACCGGATTATTTGAAAATATCAAAACAAGCAAAACAAGCAAGCATCAAAATTAAATGATGCAGACGCCCTTCAAGTTTCCATATAAGGTGACTGTTGTTTCAAATTACGAAGAAGAAACTCAACTTGAATATTTGTTTATACAATATTTAATAAGAGGGGTATGGGTTCGACAGTTAGCAATGAAAAGTTACAAGATTACATCTTTTCAAAAGTTACAGTGTAGTCACAGGAGGTACACGATTTGGAATACGTGTCGGTCTTGTCGTCGTAATTTTCAGGCCCAAACGTGTGCTCGTGCGTGACCGATTTCTTTGCATACAGACTGCTTCTCACCTGAACGCGGAGCTCTAAAATGAGTAAGAAAAAGTTTCGAAATTTCCCCATTAGTGGTGGGACGCCTGAACGCCGGGGCCATTAAACCAGGCTGACACTGCCCATGTCCACCGAGGAGGGTTAACAGTAGGCTTAAGTAGAGTAGAGTGGGGTGTGGAATTGCCGAGACGCGTCATTAATACGAAGCTGGAAAAGACGGTCCTTTTAATTCCGCGAAGAAAGTACGACCTTAGCGACAGGATACAAGCGAACGAATATGCTAAGGCTTCGCTCACAGACAGAGAAGTCATTCAATCATTGGTTAAAATTTCATTTGAAAACTCGATACCTCAATGTTCCAGAGAAATTGATTCGGGCTAAGTTACTTTAACTTTGTGTAAACTAAATACATTTGTGTAACCACTCGAACAGAGAACACCTTGTAGATCCTGTGGTGCCGAAGCAATAACGCTTAAACTCAAACCGCTAAGAACCTAACATTACGTGCATCAGATTAGTGAATCTCTAACAACGAGGTGGGTCAGGAGGTGTAAAGAAGTGCTACAAACATTTTTTAACTTTATCGGTAGACGGAAGGCATTAACGATCCACTGATAACCACAAGACCCCCCGTGTTGACCCTTCATGATTTCACGGGAAGCTCAATGGGCGCCTGTCTATCAGACACGCATAGCAAAAAACCAAGTGATACCGGGTTACTGCCACGCGAACACCAGTCGAAGAATCTTGTTCTAAGTTACGGAAAAAGGAGAAGGGATATTCGGGTTAACGTAAATCAGCAAATATAGGCTTTGAGAAAGTAAGCAGCTGAAAAGTTTTCAAGCGATGGACGATCGGCTGCATCGTTTAGCCTTAAAGCTTAAACGCACAAAAACAAATGAAATGATGACGGACAGCAAATCAGCGGGAATAACAACAATAACGACTGATTGAATACCAGTACTACCCGAACACGCGATATGACAACGAGAACGAGACTAGCACACACACACACACACGCACAGGCAGCCAACGTCCGCAGGACTCAGAGGTCACACGTGCGATGAATTAAAAGGGACTCTTTTGCGGGCTCACTAGTAATTCCACGCAGATCCGTTGGTGTGTTCGTAGAGCTGTCAAATTATATCATGAAAACGAGAGATGCAGCACAGGTCAGGTAGTTATAGAAAGGGGTCAAGACCACGCAGGTATCGTCAAAAGTATTTTTAATGAAAACACGTTCACGTGAGGAAGGAAGTAACGGTGCTCGTCTGTCTCCAGCCAACTTCCACGTGGAGTCGACATAAACGTCGCTATGGGACGTCCACCAGCAGGGGCTATGTACATCAAGGCTTGCTTGTGAGAAATAGAATGGAATTTTAAGATTCTAGATAAATGCGAAGATTATTGAGGATTCAGCGGGTGGAGCAAACAACGCAGAAACTCAAACGTACTGCAGCAAGGTGACTTTTAGGAAATGTGCAGCTGCAAGTAACGGATCCAAGTTTGCAAAATGATTGCACAAAGACAAACACATCATGCCCACCCCGCAGTCTGGCGTTTGGGTGGAAACAATACGACAACGGGGATATTTTGCCACTTTTCATCGGAATTGGTGTGGAAAACAAGTGGGCTTGCTTTAAAGAAGCTTTCGTTTATTTTGATCAATAAAAACAGTAACCGGGTCAGTAGTGTGAAGATCTCTTTTTGATTAAATCCAACGTAAAATGTTTCATGGGTCAACCAAATGCCATAGCAACAGTATCCAAATAATCAGGCGATGTAACACGCTATTTGAGGCCTGACAATGACAGAAGTGCTGAGGTTCCTTCTCTAGAGCTGTTCGAACATGTGGACCAAAAAAAACTTTCGATGACAGAGAAGGAATACGATCATTAACACCACAACTGAAGGACTGACGCACACTCGAAACACGGCGAATGCACTAACGTGCCGCCCACTATTAATTCAAGAACTGCCAGCAACTATAAAGCACACTATAATCACGGCATTAAGCCAATCAGTTTTGGGAAAAGCAGAGCATATTCAAAGGAAACGGAGCCGAGGGAAGGACTAAAAACAAAAAATATATGTATTCGGACAAATAAGCGCGTAAATTACAGCCAGGGCGTATTTCAAAAAACAGTCCCACATCAATTGCCAAACACAAGCAAGCAACCGGAGAGAGGAGCAAAGTGACTAGTCGACTGATGATGCCCTACCTTTGACTTTCCTTTCAAATCCCCGCAACTTGGCCTTTTCGCGTTTGACGCTGCGATTGGCGCGCTCCGCCTCCAGCCCCGCCTCGGAGCCCCAGACCGCGAGCGCGCGCGCCGCCACCTACCAAAACACCTGCCGCCATTACTTGGCCACGCTTGGGCTTCGGGTTCGGGGAGGAGTGAGAAATGGGGTCACGCAATTTGCAGGCCATGGCCACCGCCAAATTGGCGGGATTAGACAAGCCGAAAGTATGAAGTTATTTGATAAAAAAGCTTTCAGCATGGCAGTGGTCACAGAAATCAAACGATATCTATTAACTTTTGAACATCTTGGCTAGGCGTGCATTTTGGGGTATAAGCATTGGCCGAGTAACTTAAGCATTGTGGCATGGCCCTGAACTGGACGATTGTGTGAAGCACACTTTGCCTAAATACCAACGTGTAGATATTGATATTGATGTTTCAAGTGTTCTGATGACCGTAACGAAACCATGATTAAAACACCTCATGATCAGGTTTACAAATTTCGCGTAAATAAGTACAAATCAATAATTTCACTTAACCAGATTGTGTCGAAAACCCCTGGGTAATTTGCCTGTTTTTAAACGTGACGAGAATGAAAATGATGGCACGGTTAGTCATGTAACTATTCCTGAATGCGGAACTACGCTTGACATGAGCTCCACCATGTGGTGCAACATATTTTAAGCACTTGGTAACGTTGCTAGGGCAAATTTGACACGAGTTTAGATCACTTTGACGATAGGGCAACACTAGGAAACCAGGTTATCGTCAACAGATGCCAGCGTACATGCGCTTCAAGGTACAGCTGCATGTCACCCCACGTAGAGTTGTGGGGATTCTTTCTAAATATCCGGCGAAGAGGTGGTTCCCTCACGTCAATGTCAACATCAGACAGAAGGTATCGCTCTTTAGCTGAAGAGCGTGTAATTAAACTGTGAATTCCATTGGGGTCCCTAAAAAAGGAAACAATCAATCGGAATCTCAAAATAACACCTACCGATAAAAAACAAGTACAAATAAACCTTACCTGCAGGAATCACAAACTTGACAATCGAAGTTCCGTAGCAGAAAAGAGTCCTCAAATTCACGCGCGCACTCATCACAAACTGGCTTTTCTTCATCTGGAGCTCGAGGAAGGACAGGTTCCTCGTTGACGCAAATTACGGCCTGACTTGACTGGGATGATTTGACTTGTGCTTTTCGCCGTTTTCGCCGCCGCCTTTTGCAACCGACGCCGTCGTCATCGGAGACATCAGATTCCTCCTCGGACTTTTCAAAACGAACCACCTCCTGGCTCTGTGACAAAGAAGGGGGATCAATAAAGAAGCCCCCACCGGAGTCGGTCTGTTGGGACAAGGCAGCCTGGCGTTTCGTTCCCCTCTTGACGATCCTGGTGAAAAGACACAAGTGATGGCAATAGAGAAGGCGTGTCAACAACGCTCATGGACCAGACTGTTGCTGGGTGACGCCTGGGAGAGCCCGCAACGGTCGCAGCATCGCCTTCGTCGCTTCTGGCTTTGACCAATACGATGCACCACCGCTGCTAGCAGGAAAATGGTGAATACTGAACCGCCCTGCACGACGTCAAATAAACCTTCAATTGATTCCAAAGCCAAAGATCTTGAGTGTGATAAAAATAATAAATCTTTGATATCCAATGTTTAGTCAGAGCAACACACGCGAATTCGATCTCAGCATTTTGATGTGACATGACATGTGATTAAACCAACACGACTTTCAAATTACGGACTCAGATAACGCATTTACGCTTTTTGATAAAAAAAAACGATCACTTACAGGTCGGTGGTTACCACGCGGGCTCTGTGCAGAGCAAGGGCTTTCTGACGATTCGCTTCGATTTGCTCGCGCTCGGCCTGCGTCAATTCTGCGGTCTCAGCTTCCTCTTTCACTTCCTTCCTTTCTTCTCCTTCTTCTGAACCTTTCTTTGATCTGGTTACCCTCGTTGTAGCATCCAAATCCATGCCCTGTCGGGGTCCTGAAGCAAAGAGCCAAGTGCCACTGCTGCACAACTACTTGCATCACACACCCCACATTGAACTGTTCGAAAGCGATATAAATACGCATACCTGCATGTGCAACTACAGTTGATGGAATCTAATGTGGTGATCTCATTGGCCATCCGCCAAATGCACATTACTGGAGATGGTGGTACCCCCCGAAACAACTACTTCCCAAGTGTAGGGCCAGAAATCGGTTTTTGGCCAGAGTTCACGAAGCACTCCTGATGACAAGCTAGGTAAACCTTCCCAAGGCTATACCTCAACAATTGGGCTAACAAACTACAATAAGGTGATTATTTCTCATTGGAATTAAATCGACTGCTAAACTTTAGTTAACAGGTTCGATCTTGCATTAGCGCGAATAAAAAAGGATATTTTTATATGAGTTTGAGAGTCACGGCACTATAAGACGCCACTAGCGATGCTGTGTTACCCAACTTCGCCCACCTGAGCATTAAAGTAATAACATTTTTATCTTCAAATCATTCGTGGATGGACAGTAAATCAATAATGCTCTTAGTTAAACTCAAATCATGCGTAACCTTCGCTATGCCGGATACTCTTACGACGGATATCAGTTGACCCTTTGAGATTAGGCCCATGTGGGATAATCGTTTCAGAAACAAACATGCTTTGAATACAATAACGGACGAATTACGAAACAGTTACGGAAGACTGAACAGTGTTTAATGGTTCATAAATATGTTAGTACGCTGTGAATAGTTTGGTGGGTTTCTTGCCGGCAGCCTGGCGTGAACCCCTAAAAGAAGGAGGATTTCGACATGCTTACACAATATTTACGTTGTCTTACGGTTCAATTGACCTGAGGGGACAGCACGCCTCTATCTTTTCATTTCCACGTATTTAAACCGAGCAGATCATGGTGAAAACTACGCCCTGACCGATCATCTGCAAGTACTAAACCAACGTAAACATCACTTTCTAGTCTACCGACTGTAACGCTGGAAATGACAGCACAACACACCAATATAGGGTATCTAAAAGAAAACTGCGTAAAAAAATTTGGAAAAATTATTTTAATTCGAATAACCTACTGGTCTGGCACTTTTGCAAGCATTCATGTAAAGTGGAATTGGAAAGACAGAATAAAAACACGGAGAAACATAATTGCATTTGGCAAGGTAGAAATAAGCAAATGTCTATACACAAGCAAAAACTCATAACGTAACTCAAAGATTTGTGTAAAAAAAGGTTTGTTTCTGCCTTTCAGTGTTCTCTGTATGTGAGTCGCTTTCACTCAGAGACCGCCTTCGCAGCGAGGGTGATGTCTGCTGGAGCTGACGAATGAAGGCCATCTGCCGTTGGGCATCTGCCTTCTGAGTGGCTAGTTGAAGGTACTGCTGTTCACTGGCCGTGTAAATTTCCAGCAGACTGTTGAGCTTTGAAACGCTGTCTGACAAAGCGGACTTTTCTTTTGTCAATCTTTCGCTAAAATAGAAGGGACTCTGGTAATCAGAAACAAAACGGATTACAGGCACCTCGACAACAATGACAAGGTTGATGAGCAATAGCACAAAGGCTGCACAGCACTCCACAAAGCTGACCATTTTGCTCTTAAATATTTGCGACAGCAGTAACTGTGCGAATGAACTAAGTCTGCTTCCGAAGCTATGGTTTAAACAGATCCTGATTTACCGACCTACTGTAGGTCTGTACTCGAATAGTTAACCTCTTGAATGACACTTTATAAAAATGCCTGTTTCTCGCAAAGCAGATATACTTGGACTTGGCCTTTTAATAAAATAAAATTAATGGAATATACATGAAATCAGAAAATTGACGAAGAACTATAACTACGCGAAGGGGCTACGTTTTAGTCTATAAGAATCTAAAAGCACGCAGCCTAGAAAATGGGAACCGAGTAACCTCTGCCCCGTGCATGTTAAGGACCAAAACGCAAATACAGAAAACTGCTACACGTAAGGCTTGCTGACGTCTGGAGAAAAAGTGAAGGCAGGTTAAAACTTACTAAGTAGATCGAAGGCCGGTGGCCTTCTGGGAGGGCTGAAGAAGGTGAGTATTGATTTGTCTCTCTAGAGTGGCGGTGCGCGCAGACAGCGCCATTGCTTCTCGAGCAAGTACCTTACCAAGCCTCGCCAATAAGTCTTTCTGCAGCTGAGCTCGTAGTGCGAAAAGGTCACGTTGCACCGAGCCAACCTCACAAGCCAGCTTAAAGAATCAAAAACAAAACCTCCTTATTCTATAATCAATAGCTACTTGTTCTTAAAGTCACCCTAATTCAAATGCCATAAACCCTTGTACAATAAATTACGTAGGTCAGAAGTTAGGAACAGAGAGATAAAATTAGTAAAGCCATACATTATGGGTAAAAACGGTCATTTAAGCAACATTAGTATCACGCATAACAGAAGAGCAAACTATTCAAACCTACCCATAAAACTCGACAACATTCCCCAAAGTTAGTGTTTCAACTTACATCTGTCAACTTTGTCATTTGGCAACAGAGCGAATCCCAATGCTTTTTATTTACATTTCTAATAAAATCAACGTCTTCGCTGTTCTCAATATCTTCCCCACACGCGGTCAGTTTCTCATCAATTTTCTCCTCAAATCTGCTCCAAAATATTTCACACATTTTTGGAGTGAATGATTTTTTTGTTCGAGAAAGGATTGACTTTCCCAAGTGACACTCAGTCCATCTTTCACGAAAAACACTCAACAGCTAATCGACAAGTTAAAACCTCAATAGAGCAAACCTCCTCCTCGTCGGAACTCAATCCACCAAAAGCCTTTTCGTATTCAAGATTTAGGAGTAGCTCCTGTAATGTGTTGTATTTAATAGTAGCAAGAAGCCACCGATTAACGGGGCTGATCGATTTCTCCTAACAAAATAAAGACCTTCTGTAAAAGGAGGCTCCGAATCGAAGTCGGTTAATAGTAGATTTTAACGACATTACAAAGAGAGAAACCGGAGCTCCGAAGAATATGTATCAGTGATTTAAATAAAGACGCTCACTAAAAAAGTCTTGAAAGAAGACTTAAAAGTCACCCGTCAATAAAGAAAACACAAGGTAAGTGACAGTCAAGCGATGCTGTATCGTTTTAGAAAGTGAGGTAAATTCTGCTCAAAGGCAACTACGATAAAAACAACAGGGGCGTCCTATGAGATATAACATAATAAATGGTTGTTGTCCGAGGGCGAAATGTAAATTGGCAAACATGATAATGATTACATAAAGTGATGATTCGCCCACCTTGGAGAAGACACGAATGCAGAGGTGTAGAATACAGAGTTGAAAACTGGAGTTTTGGTAGATACAAAAAAGAATGGAGCAAGCAAAAAACAATTGCGAACAAGAAAAAAATCAGACCAAAGCACCGAGTAATCAAGACGCTTTTTCGTCAAAATTAAGAAACGATACCAGGACTGCACACAATTTCAACTTGTGCGTAGACCTGGTGTGGCGTCGGATTAGGGCGCAGACATATTGGACCACCTGGCCTCAGCCAATCCTGTGTCTCTCTGCAATCCAATGG